CTTAGCGCATCTATATTAACTATAAATTTTAGAATTGATTTTGAACAATGACTTCCAGCTAATGTACTTGATGGCTGTTGTAGCTGGGACCTCCAATTAAATCAAAACACAAAAAGTATCCGTTTTATCGTTGTGAAATAATGTTGAAATATGTTACGCTGACCGCTATCTGGAACACATTTCTAGTTGAAGGTACTGCATGTTTATACGGTAAAAGCAATTTGCGTATTGTGTGCACAAAATAAATGCTCACGAGTATAATGTGTGATGCGATAACAAAACATCCAAATTGAAATTGTCGATGGTGATTACCACTAGTAAATAATACATATTTGTTTATATAACTACTACGTAAGGCGAAAGTGTGAAAAGTTGAGATCGGGCTTTTACCAAATTAAATTTTACTTCAATCTAAATAAAATGTTGAAACCTATTTTTCATGTACTAATAAATTCATATGCCAATTCGTTTCGCTTTATTAAAACGCACCCACGGTATTATGCAGTTGTTGTCTTCACTCTAGTAGATAGCCATATTTGCTTTTTTTCTCAGATTTGTCAGATTACAACGTAGCAAACTAACTAAGTTATGAACTGAATATCACTCAATTTAGAAGCAGTCATATGTTGTTTACGATAATTGCATGATCATCAATTTGAATTGCATGATATAATAATTTTATAGTAACATGACAACTGAATATCAGTTTCAAACTTAGAGACTTTCGTAGAAATAACTAGCGTAAAGGCTAATTAATTTATAGATTCACTACATTATTAAGTTAAAAAATATTGTCAATTAAAGGAAACCAAATGTTCACTTGGCATGATCGGTGGTTGAGCGAATTAAGGATAAATTAGTGGAATAATTTTTTGCGAAAATAATATGTAAATTTTAAGTTTCTTGGCGACCGTGATGATAATTAATGATAGATGTTGCGTTCTCTTTTTTAGGTTGATCGGTCGCCATATAAAGCGGACACAATGATTAACTAAATCAGTGCAATATTACATGCATGGTTGAAATGCACTAAATTATTGAGCCCCGGTGATGGCTTAAATAAATCCATCATTCTCTGCCACTAAATATTCCAGAATATGCGCTGGGGCAGCCTAACAGACAAGTATCTTTTAACTTAAATTTTTAAAGTTAAACTATGTAAGATAAACTGATTATATCAAACTTAAAAAAAAAATATTTTAATTTACGTATTCTAACACAACCAAATTTAAAATTCGCTGAGACATAAAATTTTTACTTTGTATTTAAAGGTATAAAATTTTGGTTACTTTTAGCAAACAATTACTATTGCAAATTCAAAATATCGGTACATCGTGGTATACCTAGCTTGTTCCTTAATACATACAGGGTGATTCAAAATTGGCGTCATTCCTCTGGGGGTAAACATAACAGTACCTACAGGAACAATAGTAAAAAAAATAATTGCTATTAAGTACTGAGGTATTTCCAAAAAACTAGATCAGAAGGATGACAACAATGTTTTTCAACTGTTATGAAAACACAATACAAAGAAAGTCAAAAAACAATGAAATATTTTGAGGTTCGGATAACGTTGTCACTTTGCTGTCAGTGCTGCCAGCCTTTTTGTTGTAGATTTTGGGTTATATACCTAAATCCGCCACATATGTCATCGAAAACATCCTGTAGAAGGTTATGTATTAATGCTCAATATTAATCCACTAACAAACAATTAAGTTTTTAATTCCCAAGAGGTGCTCAGAGTTCCACCCGTTTAACTCCAAACATGTTTGTGCCCCATTCACATTATTGCGCACTCTTGGCAGCGGTCTGTGCTCACATTTTGAGCAGCTTCTCGTTTTCGGTTAATTGACTCTTGCTCAATTTGTAGCGGTGTTCGGGAGATCAGATATTTAATGTGCCCTTGTGCTCTTTGTATCTTACGTACAGGAATGTAGTAATTCCTCGTGGGAGTTATCGGACACTTATCCGGTGTTTAAGAAAGTGTCAGTTGTTGCGCAAAGCTTCGAGTAAGACAGACTATCTACCTGTAACTATCTGTTAATTACTAAAACATCATTGCCGCTTGGACTTTTTACCAAAAAATTGTAGAAGAGTACTTTCCAAATATCAAATATTTTCGTAATTTGACCCAAATATCGTATTTTTTTCATTTTGAATATTTTTGTAATAGAAAAGTACTCCAATATGCCGAGAACCAAACATGGGACCATTTCAAAATAATACTTATTAAAAGTTGAAAKTCGATTTTCATCTGTTCCTCAGCTCTGTTTGTCTGTCAACTGTTTCAACTTCCCGAAATTTTCATTAAACATTTTTTTCAATATTTTTTTCGTACCTTCCAAGTAAGCTYCTATAACCGCTTAAAACGAATGACGCCTATATTGAATTACCCTGTAGATGAACCGACGTTTTGCTAGCAAGTAAAATTTAAAAAATATGCTTGTAAACCATTTAAAAAGTGAAAATCGGAATTCTCTTCCATGGCATTTTTCGTAAATTGCGATAAGAAAATTATACACATGTTAAACATAAAAATTGTATATTTAATATGCGTTTGTAATTTTACAATACCCATTTTAATTCTGCTTTAGAACAATGAATAAAGAGACATAAATATGTAAAAATAATTGTCATATAGACTTTTTGGTTTGGTGGTTTTATTGTTGTAAAGATTTTAATGCTAACATTAAATCTAGTAGTTTCAGTATTTCCTCCTTATTTGTTGAGTGCTTCCTTTCAACTGAAAAGCAGTCGTTCGATATTTTGACAAAAACTGTTACATTATCTTTGAAATATCGTCAAAGTGGTCGCATATTCTTTGACTAAATACTGACTTGCACAAATGCAACTAACACTGACTTGTGAAATATAACAATCAATTAAAGTAGCCCTCATCGTCATGAGATAATTAAATATTCTAAAAATATATCCACCTGCATTAGAAACAACTTTGTAATTTGATTCGATTATCTACTCTAGTGGGTAATCATTATTCGCCATGAAATTATTCATTAAATTTTTCCATTCTTTTTAGCCCTTAATTATAATTTTTGGAAGATCCCAGAAGCCATCGTTCAGAAGAAGAAGCCATCGTTCACCACTTATAAGTATTCCTAGCTTGAATTACTCCTTATAAATATGACTCGCGACTGAAATATTGATCATTTGGGAATATTCATTAATTTTAATCGTTTTGTCTCTAGTTTACCTTGAACTTCGCACCACGTAATTGCAAGCGTTCGTGTTTCACAAAATTGGTTTGTTTGTTCATCCTTCCTCTACATTGACAGGTATTTAAGTTGATCATGTGTGGTCGTGCAACTGCTGCTAAACACGTTGCTTATGCGCAAAATTTACTGTTTCATTTTTACTTTAGTTTTAGGACATTCTGCATTTGTTAAGAGATACTGATACAAATTAATTACAAAATTTAAATTATGCATGTAAATAAAACCCAAGTGATCAAATACTGTTTTAATATACGAAATGATAACTATGTTAGTTTATGCTATAGATAAAGTTGATTTACATGTAGATAACGGTTTTATACGATCGGGATTTTTAGTTGTTCCTCTTTTTATTCTTATATTTTTTGAGCTACAATTTTGTAGTAACCGTTCAACTTTGCGCCTAAAGTAGTGATTTTAATGATTTATAAATTACTGCTCTAAGGACAATTAATTTTTTTTTATCATGTTTTAGGTTAAAATATAACTAGTAAAATACAATCGACTGGGAAAGCACGGACTAACTAATAATGTATATAGGAAAATAACATCCAAATACCAGAAATATTAAAACTAAATGTACCTGCATATACAAATATTCAAAAACTTTTGTTTCGCATTTTTTTCGTATAGTGTATAGCCTTAGATTTTGCCAGCTCTTTGGAGTGGGATACTCAGAAATATTTTGTAGTGTTTTTGAAGCAGATTCTGAACACAAGCTTAGCAATTGAGGAAACTTATTGCAATTTGTTACATCGCTAAAATCGTTAAAAAACTATTTTTATTTTAAAAGCTGCTGCAAAATAATGAATTAATTCACATTAAGAGGGGGCTTTTCTAATTTAATATATACCTATTATCCATGACCCGAATGCAACTCTGAAATTACATATTTAATGTTTATGTTGAGGATGGACGAAGTAAAATTTTTCCAAGTCACATGTTCAGCATTGACCATGAATCGATCGTGAGAAAAATATTGATTTGGTGGGCTATGGGAACCGAATTACTAAATTTTGGCAGAAACGGACTATTTTCAGCTTTTCGGTCAGTGATGCTGTACGTATTTCCCAAGGACTTTATATTCAAGTTGATAACTTGGTACAATAATTTTTGTAATACAATAAATATATTCAATTTTGGGAGAAAATGCAAGTACAGCTTTTGCTCGCTCATTGTACTTGCTAATTGAATTGATTATGAAGTTTACGTGTTCATAGTGATAACTTGCCTATTCGTTTTTAGCGAATTTTTATTAATAATTTAGCGAAAGTTCATAATGACCGTAAACCATATATTCGTTTAATATGATAATTGTTTCAAGAACACGGCCGCAGTTTATTTTATGTAAATTAAGTATAAAGTTTGTTCTTTATGTAAGTATGTACAAGTTCATTCTTTATCAACTCTATCAAATTAGAAACGAAAGTTTCACATCGTAGACACATAGTGTTCTCACATATATTTGGAAAGGTACTTATGCCTTTTTCAGTGTTTCTATTTTGCTTGGAAATGTGCTTGGGATTTTATGTTTAAATATAATTCGAAATTTATTGCCTCCATATGCTTTCGGTGTCGTCACAATATCAATTTGGCGGTGGTCACGTAAATAAAACGTTTTACAGCTATAAACATTTAGACGCGGACCACATTTGTGGAGTTGGTATGCCAAACGTCTTAATAAAAAGCTTATAATGCATTAAGAACATTGACGCATAAACTGAACTAATTTATGTTTCTTAGTTTTGTATATCTCAATTTTTGTTACAGCGCACCGGAAAGTGGATGAGATCACTCCGATTGAAGCATATGGAGATCAACCCATTATAGATACAGGAGTGTTCGACGGTTGGGAGAATCCATTTTCCAGCAATCCTTTTGGAGGGCTGTTTGGAAGTCTAGATGGTAAGTTTCACTGAGTTGGAAGAGAACCACACTTTACAATTAATATAAAATATAAGCAATATCCAATCAAGAATAAATAAATAAAATCTTTCTCGCCAAGGAAAGAAAATATATACCATGTGGAAAACTGGTATGAGATTATCTATCTATGGATGACAATTAATTCTAAGGCATCATGTGCACGTATAAAGCATACTTTGAAAAGTTGATGGCATTGAGGATTTGGTCTGTCATGGTTTTCAGAAAAAAAACTTCTCAGTTTGTTACGGATCTGCTTTGAACAAAATTGATTTTTTTGTAGCATAGGTACCATGCTATGGGAAGAAGCAGCTGTAGAGAGCTGAATTTTGTTTCTTTCTGAAAACCAGAACAGAGCGATCCCCCATATTATTAATTTTACAACAATAATACCATTCCATTCTTGAATGGTATACAAAATAAAACTCGCATAGTAATTTTATGTCATTACATTTAATGCTGATGCTTGACGATTTTCGACAAACCTTAATAACTAGTACAATGTGAAATTAGAAACATAAATAATTTTTTTAGACTAAACATTCAATCTAGGTAAGTCTCTAGAATCCCCAAAAGTATGGCGACATTATTTGGCTGAAAAGCTGACTTGACTTTTTTTCTGCTATTGATGGTCAGAATTAAAAACGTATATATTTTTCATTTATTGGTATACATGGATGGATGGATTGCAAGGAAACTTGCTGCACTTTTCTTCCTACGTAAAGCTCATTTTGCGTTAGAGCAAGTGCTTTGTACAAGTACAAGTACAAAACCTATAAGAAATGTTTATTTGGTTCTAGAATGAATTTATATCTGTTAGTTGTTGCATTTATCCGTTTACCAGACTTCCTCTATGAGACCTATAAACTCTTGTTGCCATGACAGATTTTGGGAAAATAAATTTTTCTGTATTCTCGCAATTCAAACTGAAAAATCGAGTATGAATCACTGAAAGCACTAAAACGAATTTCATTTAAATACCAATTAAACTCTGTAGCAGGTAGAGCATACATTTATTTTGTTAGATAATGTCTGTTAACAGGCAAAAAATGTAAAAACCTTCTTATAAGAGACATTGTCAACATTTACACTAAATGTTTCATAAACGAGAACGGAGGTAATCCTAATGGTTGGCACCCTCGACTTCGTCTCGGGTGTCAAACCCCGTCGTCGTTCGAAAAACGACACTTCTCGCCCTTGTATCGAAAACTACTATTTTGCGCAATACGTAATAAAATTTAAACTAGACTGTTACTTTAAGCCAACGAATGTCGCAGTACGTTTTTGATCGTATATAATTGAGTTATTTATTACGTTGCAGTCACAATAAGTCGGAAAAATATAATTAAATCATTAAATCAGGGAAATATTTTAAGTTCGTGCCATTTACATATTCGCTTGTATGTGGTGTAGGCGGTCGTTTACTTGATATAGAAATGGTATTTGTACACTACATGATATCATATGTTCACTTCCTCGAAAAGATGGAAATTAGATACGTAGATACCCAGAACTAATTTAATAGGTTCGACTTACATACAAATGTAAAAATAATTAAACCCCAATTGAACGTATTCCTTAATATGGTGGAAATGTGTAATTATCAGATTGTTTAGAAGTCGGGCTATATTATTATATAATTTAATAACTGCATTTGTTATCAGATTGCGTTGATGATTGCATTATAAGTAAACGTTTCAAACTCGTGAAATAAAAAATATAAATAAAAATCCGTTAAATGAAACTCAACATTTTATCGAATTTTTAAGTGCAGGTACTCAGTTTTGTAATTAGTTCCTTGCAAGCAATAATACAAATTAATTACTATTTTAATATCCAAAACTGGATTGTTGTGGGCATCCATAACGTAGGATTTACCTGTGGGAGTGTTGATGTTATTTATCTTGAAAATTGCGAAAAAAATCTTAGTATTAATTCTTTACTTGTTCGTTTGTTGTGCGTGACTTGGTGTTGGCAGATCCTATCTTGAAAGATCCAAAACTGGAAAAATGGAAAAATCCTGCGAGTTTTGTTCAGGTTAAGACACTTATTCTAAATATTCCCAAAAAGTGTTACTCTAACAACGTCAATACATTAAGTGTGTTCATCGGTTTCAAAATTGTTAAGGATATGCGTCTATGCTATTGTGATGTTTAGATTTGTTGCATTATTGCATTGAGTTATGGCTGTGCTTAATAGTTTCCCTGCTTCTTATAGTTTTTGTTGTRACTGAAAATCCAAAAATACACTAAAGTCAGTCTATTGCATTTACAAAATGCAGTTACAGATACATTAAATAACAATTAAATTAACCAATATCAATTCCAAAAAAAATATAATTTTACTCGGTGTGTAAACTGTTAGTATCAAAACGATTTACTCATTTAAAATATTTACATTGAGTGTCGTAGTTCGCTCAAATGTGTTCTATACACTGGAAATTATTCGTTGCAAACTCGAAAGAACTATTCTCAATTAAAATAACATCAACATAGAAATGGAAGCAGAAACAATCAAGTTAGTTGACATCAAATCAGCGAAAATCTAATCCACTTTACGTATATTACACGTGTATGTAAAATGCGTATGTTCTATTACACCTTTCATACTCTCGCTCTTTTTTCAATTTAATGTACAAAGGTTTATTTCAAATAGTCAAATTTCAAATATATAGTCAAATTTCCTTAATTATGAGAGATTGAAGCTCTCAGTAGTTCTAATCTGCCTGTTTTATTTTAATATTTTATGTTATCTATGTAACCATTATTTCAAGGTATCATGGAGCGAATGAGGCAACAGATTGCTTCCATTTTGAACAGGCTTCCTATCGGTAAAGCTAGTAATGATACTGAAGTATTGTCGTTCCCGGGTGGATTTGAACAGCCAGCATTCCCATCAATCAGTGGCATCGATCTGTCCAAAGGAAACACTACTTCTATAACAAAGGTTTGGAAGCATTTGATTTAATTTTAGATTTTAGCAACTTACTGCAGCTTTATAGCAAGTTTAAAAATTTTATTATGCCTCATTTTAAGAATGACGAGAGGAGCAAATATTGAACAGCTGCCACTCATTATTTCAAAAACATTTTTCAATATTACAAAATCTTTGACTTTATAAAGCTTCTGTTTTTAAGTAGGCAAATATGTCATCTACATCCGAATGAAATAAAATGAAGTAATTTCTGTACTTTCTAGTGCTGTGAAGTGATATGCATGTCATAATTTCTAGTAAAAAACGTATATTTTGTAAGTTGAAAAATCCATACAAGATGTGTTTTTGAATATGGCAAATTCTTAATTACTAATTTCGCTTTGGATCAATCAATACTTACCACATATTCACGCGGAAAAGTAGACCGGTAGCTGGAACCCACTTTTCAAGAACATTGGTTAAATTGCAAATCTTTCTGGCATGTAAAGACGAGATTGGAGAAACGTGTGCTTCTTTAATTTTTGCACTTTTTGCAACTAGTCCTGCATTTGCAGATTTGCAAATTGCAGCTATCTTTTTATCTAATTTTATCTATATCTATTTATCTAACTACACATTAAATAATGTCAAAGATCACCACAAAATAAATAATGCCGGAAAAAATATTTCAAAGAAAAAAGGAATTAAAACCTTAGTCCAATGACTCCATTGCGTTCACGATTTAGCCCAAGTTATTGAAAAGCAAGTCGTAGTCGACTTTTCAAATATTTTGTAGTATGGACGGGGGTTGTTTAGCCACCTTAAAGTAGACATCTCCCTGCAACTCTTGTTTGTGTTCTGCTGTTTTGTTTATTTCTTAGTTTCTGAATCAATATTTTTACTAAAGAAACATTTTTATCGGGCAAAGCTTCGAATCTTCGGTATGCTAAAACAATTGCTCCTTCTATTGAACATATCTTTCTGGGAAAAAATACAGCCAAATAAATCCGCCAAAAACGAAAAAATTTAACTTTAAATTCGACTTAATATCGCTTCACAAACGAGATGCTGAATCATGCATCAGCAGAAATCTTTAACGTTCGAATCGAATGGGAAGATAAGGCATGTTTAATTCCAATATCTCAGGGAACTATTTCAAAAATCTGATCTTGCCAGCTATTTTTCTGTCCCTGTTTTAAGTTTTGGGATGCCAACTCATTGATCAAAGGCTTAAAAATAGGATGCTTCACTTTTTGTTTTCAAGTTGACTTCGGTAGAAATAATGCATCTCAATGCACGACGTAGGAATCGTTTTAAATTTTAATTTCTTTTGGAGCTGGTTTGATTTATGTTCCTTTTTCTTTTATATTTTTGCAAGGTTGGTTGATTTAGAGTTCATAGTAAACATTCACACTCATGTTTTGCCGTGAAAATTATTCTGTTATTGTAATTCTGTAATTGCTTGACGGTGACTAATTTTAGATTTATCCAGGGCGAAGGGAATTTTCGGTATGAGCATTTGAGATCCTTATCTTTTCTTCCAATACGACACAGAAAGTTGACGTATTTGTTCTTAAAATTCTACATTTTTAAAATTGTGTATATTAGCCATATTTTCTGGCAAATTCAAATCATTAGGTAAAGTAAGCTGCGATTTCCACGCAAGACAAACTTTGTCAGCGATCATCATATTCAATAAATTTTTACTTTTTTTCTATATCTATGCATTTAATTGAATTTGACTGAATCATACGTATATTTAGATCAGGTTTTCTACCTTTATATTGGCATAATGCATTGCTTCATTGTGATCAGTCAAAATTATTCTCTTTCGTTTCCAGAAACCTGCCAATAGTTTTTTAGAATTTCCTATTTATGTTTTTCTAGCGTTTATAAAAATATACATTTTTTATGCAAAATTTTCAATTAAGTTATCCAATATCCCTGATCTCTTATTGATCTTTTGCGTAAATATAAGCTAGTTCTAGTTGTTAACTTTGCTCTCTTAACTTAAGTTAAACTTGACAGTAATGCAACTTAAAAACATTGTACGACGAACTGATTTGCAAGAAACTAAGTTGGTTTTCACGATCTGATTTTGATTTTGATTTCAGATAGATTAGTAAACAGAGTTTGTCGAGCAACCTTTTAACGTGCCTAAAATATAATAAAAATAAATCATTTAATTATATTGTTAGGGCGCTCTTTCAATGCTTACCATTAGTCATGACCGATTAATCAAAAACACTCGGATACTAACGATAGCGGAAACAAGCAAATAATTTATTTGAACTAATATTTTATTTTAAAGCAATTTTTTGATGATACACAGTTTTTCTTAAATTAAATTAAGTGATTATCCCTCTAACAACAATTATTGAAACATTGACCCTAACTTTGTAACATAATAAGTATGTAGTTTAAAAATCAGTATTCAAATAACTATGATAATTTTCAGCTTCACCTATATAAATAATCGATCTAACTGTCGATTCTGCGCTTCGTTGACATACTCTGTTCAATTCTAAAAGTATCCCCTTGAGAACACAGATTGTATGTTTTTTTTTTAATTGGAATCTAACGATTGAGTTAATTGCTTTATTTACAGATAAATAACTTGTATTACAACGTGATTGAACTTGTCTATTAATAGTTTATCAACAATCGTAACCAAACTGGTCAGGAAGCCGCAGGATCAATTGAAGAAAACCTTAAACTGAACAACAAACAATTACTAATTTGTTCGTTCCTAGAACGTGTGTTGTTATTGCAAACATTACCACTGCTCTTGTCTGATTCATTTATATCTTAGGTCATCGACGGTCATAAAGTAGTGATCAATGAGACAGAATATAAAAACGAGGATGACTTCGGGGGGACTTTCTTTAAAGTCCGAATCATCGACGTGAAATCAGACAGTAGTGAAGTGACGACCGAGAAAGAAGCCGAAGCATTACCTGAAAACACCACACAAAAAGATAGAGAAGAAATAGCCAACAGTATGGAGAATGAAATATTCAAATCGAGAGAGGTTGGTAGTTTGGATAGATCCCCTCAAAAAATTAAAAATGCTTAATAAACAGGCCATAGTCCGCATGAATTTATATACTAATTTGCTTTGCCGACTAGGGATTCAAAATTTTGTCATTTAGTTGCGTTGTTCATTTTTGCAGAATTATTAATACTAATATATCTATAATAAAACACATAAATATATTTCGGCATTAAATTGTGCCTATTAGTTATTATTAAACTAACGTATAACTTTAATGTAAATACGGTTTCAAGTTAACTTTACCTACTTGTACCAATGTACTTCTATTTTATATACCTATATACCATTAACCAAACTTATTTTTATACCGTACGTACAAAGAAATACATTCCTAATCTAATAATCCTTCACCTTAGCTTATAACCTACACATAATAAATATGTATATTACACTTTATGGCGTTAACTATTAAATATGTTATAAAATAACAGCGGCGGATGCTTAGTTTAAACAATAAATACATATTAAAATAATGAATTTGTAATTTATTTTTCTGTCTATTTTCGAGCATTTCAGGATTTTACTGCTGTCTGTTTTTCTGCGTTTAAACATGTCCGTATCACGTAATATAAAACGTATATAATATAAATTTAATTTACACTGTATATAAGTTCCCAAAATTTTTTTCAGAATTGTTTGCAACCAAGGTAGTAAAACGAAAAAATTAAGCTACATTTTTAGGTCAAGGGAATATTTTCTTACTAAACTGAAGATTTCACTAATCATGTACAACTAACACGATTTCCATTCATTTGCAATTAAATCTAACTACACATAACATCTACTTTCGTTATCATCGGCAACTAATCACGATTTACTTTATCAGTTAAAATTTTACTTATATCCAATATATGTATTTACAAAATGTCATCGTGTATTAAGGAAATTGTGCTGCTTGTGTATAAACAATCAATTTTAAATAATGTCTGCTATATCTTTATCTACCTATTATTTAATATTATCCGCTGAAGATCTTCGAATGCATTTTGCAATTAAATTATAAGCCTCACGTTAAAAAGTATGTACATTTCAAATTTGTAAAACATGGAAGATCCGCCAAATACTTGAAAAATCTAATTTTGCTTTTCGCTTTTCGTAAGCTCAATGGCACAGTTTATGGCATTTATAATACTTGATACATTAATAATAATATCTTTTAGCCTATCTCGATCATTTGTCAGTAGCTAATAGATACCTGTTTTGCACGTAATTTCCTCAACGCACTCTTTTCTCTATCGCTAGGCTGAAGTAGCAGGAAACGAAGATGAATTAGCTAAAAATACTTTAGAAGATAACGTGGATGAATTCAATATGGAAAAATACAAAAACCTAGAAACTTTTGACGAGGAACTTTTATTCGAAAACGAAGATGAAGACATTCAAAGTAATACGAAGCCAAACCCAAAATATCCGTCCAATTCTAACACGGAATGGAACAAGAATAATATCACTTTGGAAGCATCTGTTCCTAGCAATGTTATATTTGACGATGAGAACACTATCACATCAGATGGCCACGATGCAGTAGATGCAGCAGTAAACCCAATCAGCTTAAGCAGTGATACTTATGTTAACGAAATATTGGCTAAAAACCAAGGAAGATTAAATCCAGATGCAGAGCAAATCTTTGATAATTGGGTCGTTCCAAGATAACTTATCATCAAATTGGAATAAGCGCATTTTGGTTAACAGAGACTGATTTTTATTTATTTATTTTCATTCATTTCACTACTTATGTAGCACGGGATGCAAAACGAACCGCCTAATTTGCCATTTTCATATTCGGAAATACATTTATTTATGATAATAAAGCTGAAAAATGTCACTGTCTTTTATTGTAGATTAGATAGACTTATTGCTAAAACAATATCGGAAATTTCCAAGAAGATGGCTGAAATCCACTACTATACATACTTTTCGGATAATTTTTTAATTAATTTATCACGCAGGTCTGTATGTTTCAAGGTGTTCTAATAAACCCAACTTCCGCGGTATCTTGAATAGTTTAGGGCCTGAAATTCGGCACATAAAAAATAATTTCAGCCATCCTTTTCATTGATTTCATTTTCATTTAGCTCATTTTGCTAAGAAGCTCGCTGGGTGTGTCATAACACATAAACATATTTGTTTTTTGTGGATTGTTGAATCCACTATTCTTACTAACAATTTTCGATATTGTCAAAAATAAAGATACTTTATTCTTGAGCAAAATTCATATTTTCTGATATACCTCGAATACGACTGAAAGAAAATCTGATGGTCTCATTTTAGGTTTTGAGCCAACCATAACTTTTTATAAATGCTAAGTTTTTTTCTTAAAATTAATAATAAAAAAGTTTCCTATATGGTGCGACCTTAAGTAGACGTACTGTATATTTTAAAAATGTACATATTAGATTTCATTGTTAAAATGGATACGCCTTAAGAACCCGGAAAACAGCAGTTTTTCCTTTTATTCTTGGTCTGATTTGATAGAAGTGGTTATGTTTTTCCACATTTACATTCTGTATTGTTATTGATATTCGTCGGTGCAAGTAAGTAATAAATAGTATTCTTTTGTTCTCTAGTATTATATTTGTAGTATAGTTAGCAAATTTCAAATAAATATCAAAATGAAGATTCATATTTTGGGAGGGAAGGTATGCTGATATTAAGTGTATTTGCTGCTCAAAAATGTGCTATTCAAATTATTGAGAGGAACCCTGAATAAATTGAACACAATTGTTGTTTGTAACATAATTATATAAATAGATATGGTTTTTTTGTAACAAGTGATACATTTGCGGCTTGATTTTCATAAAATCTTTAATTGTAAACAAAATTTGTTAATGTCTATTATTCTGATCATCATTCAGTATAATGCGCTGATGGATTTAATCAAAATTGGATTGATACCTATTGTATTAACGCAGAAATTCGAAATAAATTGACACGATTGTCCTGTTGCAAACAAAATTTAAAACTAAAGTGTATTGGTAATATTATTATTAATATTCAATGTAAGTCAAGCATTATTTTTGGGGTTTTGCAATATGTTATTTGAATTATATTACCTATTTGAACGCAGATATTTCAAATAAGCCAAACAAGATGATAATATGTTTTGAATTTGATATGTTAGCCATAGAGATAGAAGCAAACACGCGAAATAGTTGTAAGTAAAAATGCCCAAAATATTGCATTTTTATGGGGCTAAAAATTTGTGGTCACTACAGATGAAAAATTATAACATGATTCGAAGTTTGTATGAACTGTATGAAATATTTCCTGCCCATTAATAAATTTGCGATTTCATGTCATGTTTCTAGGCATGTTTACTTCTTAAATTAATATGAACATTGCATTTAGGTTTGACTGTTCTGAATATGATGAAGAAGTTAGGTAAGTCACTTTCATTAAAAAATAAAGCTAAGCTAAGTTAAAGCTAAATGCAGAGCTTTATAATAAGCAAACACGAATGGATCATGAAAATAAATCAATGGATACATCAGCCTCATGAAAAAAAGAAAGATTTGCGGTTGCTTCTCACAAACGTTGATCTTGACATAAATACACTCATAACATCCCATCAGGATCATGAGACATTAACTTATTTTGTATAGTAAAACAAGAGTTACAATTTCAATAAACACTTCTTCCATAAAATCTTTTATTTATGTTTAATTTTTATGTCACCATTTACCATTCAAGCCCGCAAAGTAAAATTGAAAAATTTCTGTTATTTTGATGTAGCTTTTCACTCAGGTTTCGTGGAAAAGTTTTGACTATGAAAGGTGGTCCGTGGGACACAGCAGTTTGGGAACCACTATTTTAGAATATCTATCTGCAACTCATGTTGCTTGCGTGCCTCAATCAAGTCTTCAGAAATGTCGACAGTGTAATTCTATCTAGGCATGCAGATGACATACAATTTAATTAAGAATTAAATGAAAGATCCTAGTGTGGTATGATTATTGCCTATTGTAATATCGTCTGCTTGCTAGCAATATTATATTATGTACGTTTTTCTTGAATTTATAATGAATTATTACTTCATAATCATAATAATGCAAAAAAATAAATGCTTAATAACGAAATAAAATTTTATAAGTAGATATGCCAAGGAATTTCTTAGGCTATTTAATATTTGTATTGACATCCAGCTCCTCCTGAATAATCTATGTGACTTCTGTTTAGAAGGTTGAGTAATGTGTGAATGGAGGCTCCTACTTGATTCGTTTTTTTGCTCATATCGAATTTTATTGCCTAAATGGCCGTGTGTACATTGTATGTGTGATGCACCATTTTTGTTTACTGAATGTTATGGCTGACCTGAACGAAATTCACATTGTTTCGTAGACGGTATGTTAAAGAACTCAAGAATGTGTCCGCCAGTCATCTTTTAGATTAAAACTCTGTAATATTTCTTTAGTAATCTTTAGTAATCTTTAGTATTTCTCTGTAATTTTCTTCATGAAGAAATATTTTTAGTTTTGATATCATTTACATGAAGTTAATATGACCTAAAAATGTGCTCTGGTGGTTTGCTGATATAGGAAATGTATCAAAGACAGATGACAAAAATGACAAATCATTAGCAAGGAAGATATTATGCCTGTCTTCATCACATCTATGCAAATTCCAAATTCACATTTCAATTCAGTGATACATAATTTTTTAGAAATTTTCGATAAAAATCTGACTAAACAAACAAAATATATTAGAAATAATCGTTACTTGTCTAAAAATAGACACTTTGCAATTTATTGTACCTATTTAAAGAATTTATTGTTAATTTGTATTTAAAGTAAATTTGCGACATTTTTTGTGAAAAGTGACCCACAGTTTTTACCCCCAAGTTTACAAAACATATCTTAATAAAACTCAATCGGGATGTTCAGAAATGGCATTGGCGCACACCGCATCATTCATCATTCATATTTGACAGATTTATGTAAAGACCGCAGGACGGTGGTGGCTGGACTGTTACCGGATGCAGGTCCCCACATGAAGTCTTGCCGAGATCATCATGAATCATTTATAAACCGAATAAACAAATACTTGATGCGGATTAAGAAATATTAATTCTAACAAATATACCTAATAGTTATTGCTAGTTTATTTACAATGCTTTTAGAGATCCTTTGTGCAATATGAATCAGACTGAGGAAGATGAAGGTAATAATGGGAAAAGTAATAATTTAACAGAAACTCATAAAATAAAATACTGTTTTGCTATTGTTATATTAATGTTCTATGAAGCACTTTTCCATTGGTTATAGTTTGGAAACCTATTCAGAAGTTTCACTGGCTTTTTGCAAGATAATTACGCAGTTCACCAAACTCAAGTAACGTTGGAACTAAACCAATATATACATTTGAAAATTTGAGGTTTATTTAAATAAATGTATGTGAATTAAATTTGGGTTTATGTTACATAGGTCTCGATGAATTATTGCAGGCAATTTGAACGGAATCGAACGGCAAATTATCATTTTCTGCCCGGTTATTTGTGTTTGATTTTATAGGTCATTTAAATATCTTCGCTTTCAAAGATCTTCTATGATTCTTCATTTCTCAGCGGATCAAAATTGGTGATAATTTTGCATGATTGTTGTCTAACAACTGCAAGAGTTTATTTTCATATTGTGGCGAAAAAGCCCGACTCGGAAGTTGGAGAGATTTTTGGTTTCAATATTTTCTCGTTCCAATATGAAAATTAGCAAATCAAGTTTTTATAAGACGACAAGATTGAATTCTAGATTTTGACTATTCTGTTTATTTTGACGCAATTTGAATGTAGTTGCATTTTATTTTACATATTATGAAAACTGCTGACAAAGGAGTCAATAGTAGGTACTATTGATTCCAAACGAGATTATCGTCTTGAAAAGTCTGTTCTTAAAGTCGCAAAAGCTACAATGAAACGTGCAGTTAAAATATGTGTTACTTTTCGCGGATGTCCAAGCTGAATTGATAAGATAGATTGGAAATATAGAGCAACACTTGACGAAGAAACCGCTGCTTCGGACGTACTTGGCTGGACATCCGCAACATCATTATCTGTAATTTTTTGAAAATTATTTGTAGTGATGTTCGTCGTCCATTTGGAGACATGGTGTAATTGATTTGGTGCTCACATGTCGAGTAATTTATATTAACTGCTGTTCTCTAACCCCTTTTAGCCAATTTAGAAACCGTTGTTGCTCGCAAAGTCATTTGAAAGTTTTCTTGATGCAGTAGCTAGATGAGACCTGATTTTTCGCGTTTTTAAAGTCCACTGACTAATCATATTTATTTCCAGTAAGTATATTTTTGTACTTTTCACCCGGTTTCCAACCAGAGTTGATGGGTTGAAAAAGACGGCTTATTTTGAAATGCTGTCTCTTTTACATGCATTTGAGAAACAGCCGCATTGGACAAATCTGGGGATTAATTTGGTTAGGAATTAAAAACTTTGATGAGTGGCACAAGGCCAATTCTCTCCGTGAGTCTTTTTGGAAAATATTGGAGTATATTCAATTCTTCTAGTTTTGCCGCCTACATTATCAATAACTTCTTCTTTAAAATATTTTGTCAAGCATCTCGATTCTTTTCCTCTTTGCCATGCTAATTTCGCAGGTTAGCACAAAGAATAGTTTCTTCTGCAGACCACCTGCAGTGTTTTCATCACACCTATCAAATTTTTTTCTTTAAATTCCTCATTTTTTATGAAAACAAGGCATTTCTTTTTTCCAGGGGCTCCCGTTGCAACTGCTTCCGATTCGTGTTTTCAGCTTCTCGAGTCAATTTAAATTCGGTGTCTTGAAACGGATTAAAACAAATGTGATGTTCATTGAAGTAG